TAATCAACCTGTAACACCCCGATGTTTGGCTTCAAGTTCGATCATAATAATGAATGATTGGATAGACGATTATATACGAAGAGTTGCAACAGTGAATAAGAGAAAATAATAATGTGTTATTATTATTATCTAGTTAAAAACGAACACTTATAGTGACTGGCTCCCCATTTACATGTCCTTACTCTGAGATCTCCAACCTGCATAAATATGGCTAAAAACGCGAGCGCAGAGAGGCGCTCAGCCCTTAAATATTAATAGTACGGGGGTTTGTAACCCAAGCAGGTCGAAGTACAGCTAGTGATTTAGCATAGAGCTAGTGATTTCCACAATCTGGATCCCCACAGGAATAGAATGTCCTACCGAAGCTAAGTAATCAGCAACATAGTTGCCTTCCCTGAACACATGCATGATATGAACCTCCCATTGCTGCTTCAGCTGCCGCTTGATCGAGTTTACCAGCGTATGGTGGGGATGAAGAGTCTGATCACCTTGAAGCAAAGCAATGGTTGCAGCCGAGTCTATCTGAACACGCCAGTCTTAAGCCATAGTCGATGCCAGCTAATTCCGCATGAGTTATTGAGCCACCACCAAGGTTCACCATAAAACATCTCACAAAGAGGCCTTCATCACTCCGGAGCACTCCTCTCGCTGCTGCACTTCCTTGACTGAGCATCACTGATCCATCCATGTTTAAACAAGCCCACCCCTGGGTCGGGGCTTGCCAGCCAATCATCCTAGTCTCCTGCTCGGATCTCCCTACTGTAACCTGCCCAATATTAGTGAGGTTGGTATCAACTTGAGCTGTCAAGTAGCGCACCCTTTGAGCCATGTGAGCTGCTGGTATTAACTCTTCCTCAAATACCCACCAATTCTTGTTCTTCAATAATTGCCAGCACAAAGTAGCAAACAATGGTGGGGATATTACCTTGCCATGACCGGCCAAATAGTGTAGAACCCACTTTTGCAAATCAGGTTTAAAAAACGCTCCATCAGGCTTGCCCAGAAGTCACTCTGACCAGGCAGCCCTGGCGTATGGGCAGTCTCTGATAATATGAAGAATCATTTCTGGACCTCCTCCACAGATTTGACACGCATCCATTAAAGCGAGGTGCCGTCTGCATCTTTTGACAGTCGTGAGGAGGCGCTGATGCATGGCTAACTCAAAGAACGTTCGTGTTCTTTGGATCCCTTCAACCTGCCATGCTATCTTCCAAATGGGGTGCTCATGATGATCGTCTTCCCTTCTCGTTAATTCATAAGAGGTCTTCATTGTAAACCGCCCCGAAGAGGAGAGCCTCCACATCCGGCTCGGTGCCTTGCGGGACTGGGTGTAGCAAGAGTTGTTGCACCATATCCTCAGGGAGGAACGCACGAGCAAAGGCCTCATTCCAGCTACCATTAAAGACTAGTCTCCATGCAATCTTAATCATAAAAGCTTCATTCATTCCCATTGAATCGCAAACTCCTAAGCCCCCCTCTTCCTTCGGCTTGCACATAGTATCCCAATCCACCAAGTGAATTTTCCTTCCCAGATCTGAGCTTCCCTAGATAAAGCCTCTTATCTTCTTGTCAACCTATTCTCGAACCGAGGCCTGCATAAATGCCGTCTGCATCTTGTATGCTTGAAGCGACGATAAGACGGATTGTGCAAGTGTAATCTAATCAGCCAAAGATAGCGATTAATTCGCCACCCCCGCAAGCCTAGCATCGATGCGATCAATGAGTTCAGTGTACGTGGCCTTGGTAACGCGATCATGGATCACGGGGACCCCCAGATAAAGACCGAAGTTCTTTGTTTCTGGTATGTCTAGAGTTGCACTTAACCTCGCAGCATCCGCCGCTATAACGTTCTGGGAGAAGAAGACTCGCGATTTCGGCCGGCTAACTTGTTGACCAGACGCAGCTCCAAACTCTCGAAGGCATTGAGAGATCACTTGAACCTGCTCCATAGAGGACACACCAAAAAAGATTAGATCATCAGCAAAGAACAAGTGTGACAGCAGTGGTCCCCTCTGCGATAATTGGATTGGCTTCCAATCTTCTCTTGCTACTGTGGCCTCGACCAGTTTACCAAGACGCTCCATGCACAACGTAAAGATGTACGGGGAAAGAGGGCAGCCTTGGCGTAGACCCCTCGATGGCCTAAACTCCTCTGTTAGCCCACCATTCCATTGAATCTGCATGCTAGCGGTAGTGATGCAGCTCATTGTTAGCTCGATGAATTCCTGGGGGACTTTCGCAGCAACCAGAGTATCACGAACGAAGATCCACTGGATACGATGGTATGCTTTGGCCAAGTCAATTTTTAGAGTCATCCACCCGAATCTTCCCGTCTTAGCTCTCATCGAATGAACAACTTCTTGCCAAATACAAATATTGTCAGTAATTTGCCGCCCGTGGACGAAACTCGTCTGGGTCTCATGCACCAGCTGGGTCATAAGCGGCTTCATATTCTCAGCTAAACATTCGTGATCGCCTTGTAAGCCACGTTGTAGAGACTAATCGGTCGGTACTGCTCGATAGTTGTCGGTCGTGGAATCTTCGGGATCAGAGCTACAATAGTGGCATTAACTTCCTTGAGTCGCTCCGGTTCCCTCCAGCAACCTTGCACAAACTCCACAACTGCCTGACAGACAATGTCCCAACATCGTTGGTAGAACAAAGGCTGGAGGCCATCTTTACCCGGCGCTTTAAGTGCCCCCATAGACCTGATCGCTGGATACACCTCCTCCTCCTCAGTAAATTGTTTTTGTACAGGCAGCCACAAGGCACTAGGAACTTCTCAGAACACTGCGGGTAGGTTAGCAAGCGGTCCTCCCTCCCGAGATCACCCACTCTAATCTCGAATTCTGAGCCCATATGACTTCAAGCTCATATGGGCTCAGAATTCGAGATTAGAGTGGGTGATCTCGGGAGGGAGGACCGCTTGCTAACCTACCCGCAGTGTTCTGAGAAGTTCCTAGTGCCTTGTGGCTGCCTGTACAAAAACAATTTACTGAGGAGGAGGAGGTGTATCCAGCGATCAGGTCTATGGGGGCACTTAAAGCGCCGGGTAAAGATGGCCTCCAGCCTTTGTTCTACCAACGATGTTGGGACATTGTCTGTCAGGCAGTTGTGGAGTTTGTGCAAGGTTGCTGGAGGAAACCGGAGCGACTCAAGGAAGTTAATGCCACTATTGTAGCTCTGATCCCGAAGATTCCACGACCGACAACTATCGAGCAGTACCGACCGATTAGTCTCTACAACGTGGCTTACAAGGCGATCACGAATGTTTAGCTGAGAATATGAAGCCGCTTATGACCCAGCTGGTGCATGAGACCCAGACGAGTTTCGTCCACGGGCGGCAAATTACTGACAATATTTGTATTTGGCAAGAAGTTGTTCATTCGAAGAGAGCTAAGACGGGAAGATTCGGGTGGATGACTCTAAAAATTGACTTGGCCAAAGCATACCATCGTATCCAGTGGATCTTTGTTCGTGATACTCTGGTTGCTGCGAAAGTCCCCCAGGAATTCATCGAGCTAACAATGAGCTGCATCACTACCGCTAGCATGCAGATTCAATGGAATGGTGGGCTAACAGAGGAGTTTAGGCCATCGAGGGGTCTACGCCAAGGCTTCCCTCTTTCCCCGTACATCTTGACGTTGTGCATGGAGCGTCTTGGTAAACTGGTCGAGGCCACAGTAGCAAGAGAAGATTGGAAGCCAATCCAATTATCGCAGAGGGGACCACTGCTGTCACACTTGTTCTTTGCTGATGATCTAATCTTTTTTGGTGTGTCCTCTATGGAGCAGGTTCAAGTGATCTCTCAATGCCTTCGAGAGTTTGGAGCTGCCTCTGGTCAACAAGTTAGCCGGCCGAAATCGCGAGTCTTCTTCTCCCAGAACGTTATAGCAGCGGATGCTGCGAGGTTAAGTGCAACTCTAGACATACCAGAAACAAAGAACTTCGGTCGTTATCTGGGGGTCCCCGTGATCCATGATCGCGTTACCAAGGCCACGTACACTGAACTCATTGATCGCATCGATGCTAGGCTTGCGGGGTGGCGAATTAATCGCTATCTCTGGCTGATCAGATTACACTTGCACAATCCGTCTTATCGTCGCTTCAAGCATACAAGATGCAGACGGCATTTATGCAGGCCTCGGTTCGAGAATAGGTTGACAAGAAGATAAGAGGCTTTATCTAGGGAAGCTCAGATCTGGGAAGGAAAATTCACTTGGTGGATTGGGATACTATGTGCAAGCCGAAGGAAGAGGGGGGCTTAGGAGTTTGCGATTCAATGGGAATGAATGAAGCTTTTATGATTAAGATTGCATGGAGACTAGTCTTTAATGGTAGCTGGAATGAGGCCTTTGCTCGTGCGTTCCTCCCTGAGGATATGGTGCAACAACTCTTGCTACACCCAGTCCCGCAAGGCACCGAGCCGGATGTGGAGGCTCTCCTCTTCGGGGCGGTTTACAATGAAGACCTCTTATGAATTAACGAGAAGGGAAGACGATCATCATGAGCACCCCATTTGGAAGATAGCATGGCAGGTTGAAGGGATCCAAAGAACACGAACGTTCTTTGAGTTAGCCATGCATCAGCGCCTCCTCACGACTGTCAAAAGATGCAGACGGCACCTCGCTTTAATGGATGCGTGTCAAATCTGTGGAGGAGGTCCAGAAATGATTCTTCATATTATCAGAGACTGCCCATACGCCAGGGCTGCCTGGTCAGAGTGACTTCTGGGCAAGCCTGATGGAGCGTTTTTTAAACCTGATTTGCAAAAGTGGGTTCTACACTATTTGGCCGGTCATGGCAAGGTAATATCCCCACCATTGTTTGCTACTTTGTGCTGGCAATTATTGAAGAACAAGAATTGGTGGGTATTTGAGGAAGAGTTAATACCAGCAGCTCACATGGCTCAAAGGGTGCGCTACTTGACAGCTCAAGTTGATACCAACCTCACTAATATTGGGCAGGTTACAGTAGGGAGATCCGAGCAGGAGACTAGGATGATTGGCTGGCAAGCCCCGACCCAGGGGTGGGCTTGTTTAAACATGGATGGATCAGTGATGCTCAGTCAAGGAAGTGCAGCAGCGAGAGGAGTGCTCCGGAGTGATGAAGGCCTCTTTGTGAGATGTTTTATGGTGAACCTTGGTGGTGGCTCAATAACTCATGCGGAATTAGCTGGCATCGACTATGGCTTAAGACTGGCGTGTTCAGATAGACTCGGCTGCAACCATTGCTTTGCTTCAAGGTGATCAGACTCTTCATCCCCACCATACGCTGGTAAACTCGATCAAGCGGCAGCTGAAGCAGCAATGGGAGGTTCATATCATGCATGTGTTCAGGGAAGGCAACTATGTTGCTGATTACTTAGCTTCGGTAGGACATTCTATTCCTGTGGGGATCCAGATTGTGGAAATCACTAGCTCTATGCTAAATCACTAGCTGTACTTCGACCTGCTTGGGTTACAAACCCCCGTACTATTAATATTTAAGGGCTGAGCGCCTCTCTGCGCTCGCGTTTTTACCAAAAAAAAAACCTAGGTAGGTGATTTTAACGTGTACTATACCACTAGCCATATTTAATTTACATACACAAATTTAATAGCTACCATCACGTCACAATTATTCCTATTATACGAATCATATTGGAAAATAACTAACTCATTCATCTATTAATTTAGTCAAGCCATGCATGAAGAACTTTTCGTTAGCTCCTTCCCGTTACTATCATTAATTCAATAACTCCGATCGTCACTTAATTAAATATAACCAAGTGTTATGGGACAATCCAAGTACGACATCGTAAATACAAGGGAAGGAACCCTTGTATATTAGTGTCCACCAAGCTTATTAGTACGAGGCCTCTTGGGGAGGCCACCCAACAGTGTCTGGGAAAATCGTTGTACCGAGAAGCCCATTGATACAAGATGTTTGGCGGATCAAGATAATCGTTAAGGTGAGAACACGATGTTCGTGGTCCTTGGCTTGAGGGGAAGATTGTTAGACAATCCAAGTACCACATCGGAAATACAAGGAAGGAACCCTTGCATATTTGTGTCAGCCACCCCAATTAGTATGTGGCCTTTTGGGGTGGACACCCAAGAGTAAAACCGTGCGGTATTGGCCCAAACCGAACAATATCGTACTAATGGAGCAATCCTGGTTAGGAGAAGTGGTATCAGAGCCTGGTTCGGTGCGGGGCAGTGGACGTCAGTTTCGTGGGCCCTCATTCGGTGACCTTGGGATTTGAGATTCGCATCTGTTTGGTGGATCCAGGAGAGATCCACGTTCGGCCTTGGCGGATCAAAAGAGTTCCGCATTTTGGAAGCAGATCAAAGAGAGTGCTGCGTTTGCTAAAGTCCTTGTACCGAAACGCCCATTGATACAAAGCGTCTGGCGGATCAAGATAATCGCTAGGGTGAGGACACGAAGTTCGTGATGCTTGGATTGAGGAGAGGATTGTTATGAGACAATCCAAGTACCACATCGGAAACACAAGGAAAGGAACCCTTGTATATTAGTGTCCACCAAGCTCATTAGTACGAGGCCTTCTGGGGAGGACACCCCAGAGTAAAACTGTGCGGGCTTGGCCCTAAGCGGACAATATCGTACTAATAGAGCAATCCGGTTATGACACTAAGATATCCAAAACTCAAAAGAAATGAAAGAGGAGGTCTAGCTAGCTCTTTAGCTTAACTTCGTGCCTAGAACGTGATGGAGGTTGTTCAAACTATATTCGACATTGATCTCGTCGATTGATCACTCAATCACTTGGCCAACGTAACTACAATTTAATTCCGTACGTGAACTGGTTACTAAAATGGACTCAAACTTTGAAGTCAAAATTTGGTAATTAGAATAATGAAATAAACACTAAACTTGATTATGAGCTAATGTTAAATTCTGGAATTTTGGACTTTTGAAACTTCCCCACTAATGCAAAAACACTTTTGGAGAGGGTAGATTTAGAATTCTAGCCTCAAATTTTGTTTGTGTAACGAGAAGAAGATGGAAGGGTTGCTACTGCTGCTTTATTTGAACAGATAAACGGAAGCATCTCTTCTTCCTCTTTCTTTAATGGAATTCTATTGATTGGATCTTATCTTGCCATTATTTCAGATCTGGAGTAATTATTGTAGGGACCAAGTGGTTGAATAATTGGATTGCTAGATGTAGGGATATGATGATGATTTATGAAGGTTGGAGATCTCAGAGTAAGGACATGTAAATGGGGAGCCAGTCACTATAAGTGTTAGTTTTTAACTAGATAATAATAATAACACATTATTATTTTCTCTTATTCACTGTTGCAACTCTTCGTATATAATCGTCTATCCAATCATTCATTATTATGATCGAACTTGAAGCCAAACATCGGGGTGTTACAGGTTGATTAGATGAGTGGTGGAGGAAATTGCATGCATGCATGCACCCTTTTATTTATTGTAGGCAGATGTAAAACACGAACAGTAGATATTATAATGCTTAGAAAGCATGGAGGGACACGCAATGGACGACACATGAAGCAAAGCTTGTATGGTGATCATGATTAACGCGGCTATGTATTGGTTTGAATAGGCTTCTATCATTAGTCGTCCACGGGAGCTGGTGCGTCATCGCCCTTTTGGTTATGACAGTCAATTTCATTACCGTTTTTGGCCGTAGCAGTCAAGGCCACTGGTGCTGGCGGGGAGAAGTTGCTTTCGGCCTATACAGTAGCCAATCAATAACGGTTATTATATAATACTAACATAATGGTTATTATAATTCTAACGTAATACTAACATGGCCGAAAGATGAAAAAGAATGTTGCGTGCATGCATGCAATGGATACCTGAAGGACACCGTCAACCCTATCCGAAACTATGGAAGGGAGCGGTGATGAGTTGGTTGTTGAGAGTCGGACCCTGGAAGCGCCATCGGAGATTAGAAAGCAAGCAGCCAACAACAAGAACAAAAGAATACAAGCTTTCGAAGCCATGGATATATATATTTAATTTCTTTAGTATGTTGCTTGGAGAAAATTTTCCTTATGCTTTCAACTGTGAGTTTATGTTTTTGCTATATGGAAGTGCGATTGTTCGACATATATATACACACATAAGTCCGGCTTTATTCCAATTAAGAAGACTCTAAACTTGATATTTGTGTGAGAAACAGGAAAGGAATTAGCTTTCGTACGTAATCCCTTCTACTATAGTTTGTCCTAAGTGATGTTTCAGTTTAATTGCTTTGCTACACCCGGATAAAGGAACCCTATTCCATTTGTCTCTTTTGTTTTCAGAAAATACTTGTCCAAATAACATACACACACGTATCCACTTTCATTTCTCTTGCATTATAAGGAAACTCATCTTTGTTACAGTGATAAATATGTTTCGACTTAATACAAGTGTTAGCGTTAGGGCCCTTTACTATACTTCAACAAGAAACTGAATTCGCTTTCGTACGTAATCCCTTCTACTATAAATGGAGCAGAAAATTGCGGAATATATTCGAATTGTTGGATACAATTGAGTTTTAATCATTGAAAAAACTAGGGGAGCCCAAGCAATGTGAAAGCACAGGAATGAAAATTAAAAAAAACAACACCTATGCATCTTTTATACATGATTGAGATCATATCGATTATAAATGGAGAAGAAAATTGCGGAATATATACGAATTGTTGGATACAATTGAGTTAGGGCCCTTTACTATACTTCAACAAGAAATGATGGAGACAAGTTCTTACGCATGCCAGTGCTTTGTAAGATACACATGTTATTTTCTTTTAATACAACTATTTTTATTAAATCTAGTTGTGGTAAACGACATCATTTTATAGGAGTGACAGCTTGTTCTTTTAGTTTTCGTTCTTAAACTGGAACGGTTCAAATTTTTTTATCCTTGTTCTCTTAAAAACTGAACCAACTTAATCATGTCTAAACAATTTTTTTATCCTTGATACTCAGAATTATTTCTTACTCCACCTAACTAAATACTATTATTAGGGCAGGTGAGAAATATATGAATTCTTTCACATAGGAACTCTTGCAAGTATGTTACTTTGTTTGATTTTAGAGTCCTACTAGGAGAAGGAGATCAAGAGCCTTGCCAAACATGGAAAGGATGGCAACCTTGGTGGCGGAAGTTGGATTAAGATGAAGCGAAAAAAAAAAACTAACTAAAGAAATAATTAGCGAGATCTTTATAGTGATCTCGTTGATCACTTGTAGAAGGAACAAACATGAGTCCTATGTTATGGAAGAAGGTTTTGGTTTCCTCAGTAGAGTAAGACAAAAGAGGTAGAGGTTGGGTCTAATTTGTTGGCTAGTACGTGGGAACCAATTAAAGTAAAAGGAAGGAAGCTTAAATAAACTAGATAATCATAATTGGCTTTGGATAAAGCCAAAGTTTAGCTTGGGTGGTGTAAGCGAGGTGTAAGGACCACCGGTTGTGTTTCCGTGATGGTCTATTTGGTGTTAACTATTTAGTCCATAATTCTTATGCACTAAGTAGTTGGGGGCAATTGTTTACACAAAAAAAAATAACCTTATACCACATCGGTTAAAAACAAGGAATTAAGTGGCTTTATAAAGCCAACTTAACCATATTAGTTTAAATAAGCTGAGTGGGCCATAGAGATTGGGTTTTTTGGGCCCATTACTCCGTGCCACCACGCCCGCCAAGTATCTCCAAATTTGGCTAAGCATGAGAGCCACCCCCATGACACCCTGGGGGTGGGCATCATACTGCCACCCCCAGGAGGTACGTGGTAAGGGGGGTGGGCATCATACTGCCACCCCCAGGAGGTGCGTGGTAAGGGGGGTGGGCATCATACTGCCACCCCCAGGAGGTACGTGGTAAGGGGGGTGGGCATCATACTGCCACCCCCAGGAGGTACGTGGTAAGGGGGGTGGGCATCATACTGCCACCCCCAGGACGTGGCAAGGGGGGTGGGCATCATGCCGCCACCCCCATGACATGGTGAGGGGGGTGGGCATCACATTGCCACCCCCAGGAGGTAAATACGATTAAGTATGGAGAAGATGGGGGCCCATGGTATGATACACGAGGTTGATCACCAAGGATGGCAAGGAGAACCCCCATGAGATGATCAGGGGGCGGTGATTAATATCCACCCCCTGTGGTATGGTCAGGGGGTCAACAACATACACCCCCATGGTATGGCCAAGGGGCGTGGTCAACATCGCCCCCATGAGGTTGCCAGGGGGGCTACCAAGGCACCACCCTCATGAGGTGGTCAAGGGGGGTCAGGTGGGTACGTGGTCTCCCTACTCTCGTAATGGTGAAGTATTTTTGCCATTTTTGACTCAAGTGATTCGAGTACCCACCCATATGTGGCCCGTGGTATGCTCTCATGCCTTAGTCATTTTTTCTCTATGGACAAGCAAAGCTACGGAGGAGATACCAAGAGCATGGAGTGAGGTCTCAAGAGT